CTGCATAATGAGACCCTGTCTCAAAAAGATTTAAAGAAAAAAAAACCTATAATAAATGACACATCATCTATTGAAAAGATAAAAAATTTTTTTTAGTTATTGTTTTCTGTTTGAAATAGATTTTTCCTCGTCTTGTTATTTTATGCTTGCTGTGAATTTTTTTCCCCTTTAAATGTGTTCTTTGGTGAGGGACTTCTGTTTAGTATTTCCCGGTGAAGCACAGTGGTTCCTGGAGGACTGAGGTGTGACTTTTCTAATTTAGCACTGTCACCTGATGGGGAAGTTAAACCCAAGGGAGATGGAGGCGGAGAGAACTCGCCAGACAGGGAAGTTACTGACCTGGGAGCTCCTCTGGGTACAGACGCACTGTCTCAGTATTTGTAGCAACTTCATTCTGCACTTCCCATGCAAAGATCTGCTTCTGGGATCTCTCCAGCTGGGCTTTGTGGACACCGACCCGCTCCTCCACTGTTGTTAAAGATAGTGGTGCTTTCTCTTCCTTCCATCTGGGGCTTCTGTCATGTTGCCATGTGACCTACTTATCTTGGCAGGTCCAAGGCTCTCGTTTCTTTTTTTTTTTTTTTTTTGGAGCTCCCTGCTTTTTGCTTTGTTTGGAAGAAGGGACAGGAGGATTCTGGGAGTGGAAAATGGCCTTTCTAAATTCCCCTTGGGCTGAGAGCAGGAAGCCGAGGTCAGCAATGCCCTCTGTCCTGGGCTGATGGACAAGGAGTATGAGGGGACCCACTCTCACCCCTGCTGAGCACAGAGAGTCCAGCTTTGGGAACTTCCGCTTATAAATGCTGCCTTTAGCGTCTAGGTAAAGTTTCACCTACAAGATGTATTCATGGTTTGATGTGTTTATGGGATGCCCATCAAACCAGGTGTCCCTTTGTGGCTTTTCACAGCTTGCTGAAGATGCAGACACTGATTCTGTTTGGCAGGTCTCGGATAGTATAGTGGTTGATTGATTATGTCAACTTGAGAAGTTTAGAAGCTGCCAGGTGTGGTGGCGCACGCCTGTAATCCCAGCACTCGGGAGGCTGAGGCAGGAGGATTATTGTGAGTTCAAGACCAGCCTGGTCTACAAAGTGAGCCTACAAAGTGAGCTCAAGGCCAGCCTGTAATCCCAGCGTAGTGAGACCCTGCCTCAAAAAGACAAAACAAAACAAAAAGTTTAGAAATTTAACTAGCCAGGTGTGGTGGTGCACACCTGTAATCCTAGCACTCAGAGGCCGAGGAAGGAGGATCGTTGCAAGTTTGAGACCAGCCTGGGCTTTAAAGTAAGCTCAAGTCCAGCCTGTAATCCCAGCATAGCGAGACCCTGTCTCAAAAAGACAAAAAAGAAAAAAAAAATAGAAGCTTAACTAAACTTGGCTCAGCAATTGGCTGAGCAATTCTACACCCTAGGGTGTAGAGGAGCCACCTAGGGTGGATCATCACCTAGATGATATAAAAGGGAGATGACAGACAGAGGAACTTCCATTCCTTTTGGAGGAGCTCCAGTCTTCACCTTCAGCTTGGACTTCGTCTCCTGGCTTCTAGTGCAGACTCTTCGGCTTCCACCTTGGATCCTTCAGCCTTCCGTCGCAGACTCATCGGCCTCCTGGTACGAACTTGCACGGAACTTTGCAGTGAACTCCAGACCCTGGAGTGATTCCTTCGGTCTTCAGTGTACAGACGCCGTCTGCACACTTCCTCATACGACTCTGTGGCTGACCATCGTAAGCCAATCTTGTAATTTCTTATACATTTGTACATCTTGTGTTATATCTGTTTCTCTAGTAACTGATACAGATGGCTTCTAGTAGATGAGAGGGTCCCTGTCTGGTCACATGAGGTCCCTAAGGGAGCTGTTGTTTCTGCTAGTATGTAGGACTGTGCCTTCAGTGACGGGGCGAGGTGGAAGGTTGCGGGACACAGGCTTGAGGGATGGTTCTTTTGCCATCAGTAGAGCTGCGGTCTACTGTTTAAGTGTCCCTGGGTTTTCCACTTTCTCTAAGACAGATGCCCACTCTGAGCAGGTAGGTGGCGCCTGAGGTTCACCCTGGGCATGTGTACTTACTCTTTGCCCTGTTGCTTGAAGACTGGAAGATGATGTTGGTTAGACAGGGAGAGGTGAAGGCAGTGGACCTCGAGGTTGGAGGGGTGGGCACCTCTGGGATCCGGAGGGTTAGCAGGAGCTGGGTGAGGTGTTGCGCATCCTTAATCCCAGCTGCTGGGAGCCTAAGGCAAAAGGAGCACAAGTTTAAGACCAGCCTGGGCAACTTAACTAGACTTTGCTTCATTCTGAGTTCAATTCTTAATACCCCTTTCCAAAGAAAGGATCAATGGGCCCTTGAGGTTATCTTCATGCGTTTTTTTTTTGTTTGTTTGTTTTGTTTTGTTTTTTGTTTTTTTCAAAATACTCAAACCCAGGATGCGCTACCATTGAGCTACATCCTTGACCCTTATTTTGAGACATTGTCTCCCTAAATTGCCTAGACTGGCCTCGAATTTGCTGTCCTTTTTGCTTCATTCTCCCTAGTAGCTGGGGTCACAGGTATGCACCTTCATAGCGGGCTATCGTTATGCATGTTTAGATAGTTGCATTTTATTTTATTTATTTATTTATTTCTGCTTTCTTTTTTGTCTTTTTGACTTTTTGAGGCAGGGTCTCGCTATTCAGTTCAGGTTGGCCTTGAGCTCACTTTGTAGCTCAGGCTGTTCTCAAACTCTCAATGATTCTTCTGCCTCAGCCTCCTGAGTGCTGGGATTACAGGCATGGGCCACCACGCCCAGCGGTAGCTGCAT